GTATGTATATGCATGTAAATGTATGTCTATGCATGTATATGCATGAACTTGTGTATTAATGCAAATATATATCTATTTATATATGTATATATATATATATATATATATATATATATATATATATATATATATATTGTATAGATATGTACAGATATGTGTAGATATATATCAATATATATCAATATGTATAGACATAGATAAATAGATACAATGAGCTAGATATATAGATATATAGATATATATATAGATAGAGAAATAGAGACGAAAAGATAGAGGCAGAGATAGTATTGATATAGATATAGATATATAGATATACAGAGCTAGATATATAAATATATAGATATATAGATAGATAGAGATATAGAGATATAAAGATAAAGACAGATATAGTATTGATATAAAAATAGATATAGATCTAGATCTCGATATTTAGATATAGATATAGATATAGATATAGATATAAATTCAGATACAGATAAAGATATACAGGTATACAAATATAAAGATATACAGAGTTATAGATTTATAGGTTTATAGATTTATATTTATAGATTTATAGATATACAGATATATAGGTATATATATATATGCATTCGTAAAAGGGCGGATGATTTATTTGTGAAGTGTATGAGACTTTCGCGTGATTCGATAAACACTTGAATGGAACAAATTGTGGATATGTATGTTTTTACAGCGTATTCACTATCCTCTTCTCGTAGGTACTTTTGGGAAAATCCAAGCCCTTTATGACACAAAACTGAATACTATCTACCATCCACGGACTTTGACATAGATACGCGCACAGAATCTACGGTAATGTATACTAAAAATTGTACCGATTTCATTTGGGAGAGTGAGAAAAACAATCTCAGACTGAAATTGAGCATACCTGGAAGTTGATTTCTTGTCCTTTGCGAACGATACGGTATACATCGACAACAACCCAAAAGAACATTTGCGCAGACCAGGCACACAATATTAGGTTGTGCAACGCACTGATTGTTGTCATTGCAAACCCTTGCTTGCCATTCATTAAGTAAGTAAGAGCTGCAGATGATACAGCAAACCGACTGCGTCAATGAAGTAGCATTTAAAATTTCTGGTTGCTAAATATGAATCTCAGAAAGCATATCTACGATATAAACATTTGTAGAATACAGTTAGTATTTATGTATCGTGGATAGCATATTTCCAGCTGGGATCGCATCATGTACGAAATCAGATCCCTCACATAACAGGGACTGTTTTTGGTATTTTTAACAGAAAAATATGCGTTCAATTGCAGACACACTGCAATCGTTAACAACAACCTAACAATATGAGACAGAACGTTATAGTGTGTACTCGTAGTGTTCTGCTGTCTTGATGACCCGATCAGGTATTAGTTATGCAGTGTACGAAGTTGTTTAGTGTACAATTTCTATAACATGAGTCGACTCTATTCTAAGATCGGGCACTCCTATGGACAAACTACAAGTGGGCTCATGCTTACCTAAGATAGAGGTCCAATATCCAATCCACACCCAGAAAATGAAGGTCAGGTCTGTCAGCGGAGTAACTCCCGCCACCCATTGGAATGTGCTTCCATAGCTCTCCAGCATTACCGCACTCAAAATACCGTCCATTGTAGTTGAACTCTTTCTGTATGTTACAAGCCCGTTATTTGTACGTTTCAAGCCCTTTATATGTGATTTGACTCGGTATGTATACTGAAGTCTCCTAGTATTACGTACGGTGTAATATATACATGTAACACATATACTTCTTCTGAATATAAACAAACGAAATGTTTCTATATCTCGCTCTCGTTGGAAATTCTCATGACCCTCTCCCAACAAGAAGAGAAGAGTGTGGCGAAACAAGGGGTAAACGGGCTGGCCGCTGGCGTCCGAAAATTCTTTTGGAGTTCTTTTTCCGCTCTTGTGTTGTTCAGCTTCTGAATGCGTTTTGTTTTATTGGAAGGCGCATAGCCTTCTTTCTTCTCTACAAAAAAAAAGACAGAAGGCTAGTCGGCTAAGGCTAGTCGGCTAAATGTGAATATATATATACTGATGTCATAGTGATGTCATATATATATACTGATGTCATAGTGATGTCATATATATATACTGATGTCATAGTGATGTCATATTTTGTCAAGTGATCCCGCCAGATTTCATTTGAGAAGGACTTCCAAATATGTAGGTGCAAGCGCGCCAGTAATTTCAAAATTTGGCGGTCTTTTTGGAGTACTGTAAAGGATGCGCGTTTCTCGATTTCAATTTTCAAGTGACCTTTAGTAAAAGGTGAGGGTATGGTCACAGTCACAGGTCACAGGTCAAAACATATAATTTTATGTGCCATAGACCCGTAGACCCGTAGTACATAAATATATCAAGTTATCAACTGCTGTTTTTAAGAGGGTATATAACGTACTTATAACTTTCAAAGAGGTTGCGTAAACAGTATATCAATTACATCTGCCAACTGCGATAGGAGTATAACAATCTCTACTGCACTGTCGCATACATATATAATATATACATATCGATCTCGCATACCTCACAAGTCATACTTGCACATCCTTCGATCAACAAGTCAAAAGTGCACATCTCGGTCCATCGTATCAAGATATACTCCCGTGAACACACTGTCTATTAAAAATTGACAAGTCTCGTTGAGGGACTTTTGTTCGATCTGACTGCGTCGCTAGTGACGTGATAGCTTCGTTGCTAGGAATCAGCTCCAAGATTTTAACTCTTTTTGGACACATAGGAGTCTCCTGTGTGAGTATCCAGTAGCTACTCAAGGTACGGAAAAATACTGGACGAACACAGCTCGATTATGTGCAGTATTGCTATGGTGTGTAATATTGTTTATTTGTTGTTGTGCATATTCTTTCTGTTGCTAGACACGTACGCGTATAGTATACTTCTGTTTTATGATGTGTGCGTGTTGTTTATTATCAATCGGATCTTGACATTCTGATGTGTGACAAAGAAAAACTACTAGAGACACGAAGAACGGCTCCGCGCAAGCAAACGAACCATCTTGTCGTGCATACTAGCATTTCAAGTACAACGTATATGCTCAATTGAGTACACTATACACTCTCTTTGATAGCATAGACATCTACTGGATTTGTGACTTTCGTCAATCTCTTTTAGCCTCAGGTATCACGTACACGGTCTACGTGCTAGCGTAGACCTGCAGTCGAAGCATACAATAAACCCGGTATATTGATGACTTCCAATAGACCGATTTTTGTTTTTATATATTCAATATTGACCTTCGTTTCTCTATATTAGCTGCCGTTTCTGTCCGTCTTATTTGCTGTTCGGATTGTGTTTTATCTTATTCATGTTTCTTGCTGTGTGTATCATATGCTATTTTTTATTTGGATTGTCTGATTGCTGTCGCCACCAGGACACATTTGACTACGGTATCTACAAATCTCAACAGGCATTCCTCGCCACATACCGACTCGCTCCTCACTACTAAGCAATCACTCAAATATCTATGGAATGCCTTGAAATTATGCGCGAAGTGATGCTTAATATTAGCGCCGATAATCAGCCGTCGTGCAGATGCGCACAAAAACAAGTTTCCATCATTATATATATATATATATATATATATATATACTATACTACTACTACTAACTACTACTAACTACTAATATATATATATATATATATATATATATATATATATA